ATACCAAAAACAGTAACTACATTGACCATAAGCTCATGAAATGGTTACAAACAAGCACCATTTACTATTGTTATCTTGCCAGGTAAAGCCCAGCGAGCTACATAGCTCTGTTTTCAGAGACGACTTGGCCACAAATGATAACTCAACGAAGCGGCTGATCACGGGGAAATGTTTCGCAGCCAAACACTCGAAATGCGTGATGTTTATTCTAGATGTGAAGGGAAAAACCGGAAGACCCGGAGAAAAATCCACACGACCACAGGGAGAGAGACACGCAAACTCAATATATACAGGCGTCAGGGTCAGGTTAGAACCCCTGATCTCCTGTATACCTCGCGAGGTAGTTAACATCTTGCCACTGTGAGCTTCTGTAGAGGGTATTTGGCCTCCTCTTCCACGCTGGGCAAACAACCCTGAAGATGTGGGATTACCACATTCAACTCCACCACACACGACTTACCCATCGACAGACTGACGATCACCCATTTCTGGGTGGACAGAGGCGGGGGGGGTCAGATAAAACCAGCGACCTTTGGATTTCAAGTCCAGTGTGCTTAACATTACACCACGGCAGGGAAATCCGTGAGAAATACAGGGACTCCTCAACTTACGAATGAGTTAGGCTCCAGGTCTGTTTGTAAGTTGATTTGTTCGTAAATCCCAACTTTACTCCTGTCGATTCAAAATATGTACACTAAACACGGGGAATGGCTTTTAAAGTTGTATAATCTCCTGTAGATGCCACCGGTTCTTCACGTTCTGCAGAAGCAGATGCCACCACCACCATCTATTACGCCGCGGTTGAACTTACTGTAGGACTCTCGGTCCGAACAGGCAAATGCACATACGAAGAGGTTTGTTCGTATCTTTGAAAGTTCGTAAGTCGACTGATTGTAAGTAGAGGAGTCCTTGTACAGTAAAACGCGTAATTTTACATAGGTCACTTGCAACGCACTGTGCAGTTCTCTGCAGAAATTGCTTGATGGCTGCAGGAAGTCAAAGGGGTTGAGGGCTGATTTTGTGGTGGTGGTGGTGGTGGCAAGTGAGCAAAGCGCGAGACTTCACTGGCATTGCCAGCTGGACAGCCGTCCCAAACACATCTCAACGCAGAGCCCTGCAGGCAAACCCTGACAAATCTCCCCTCCCACACCAGTGACTGGGGAGGCACTGGCTCGTGTCAGAGCCAGATTCATATACTAAGGGGGGTGTGTCCTCACTTTAGGGGGGTGTGGCCTCACTGAGGGAGACGTGTTAAACACGTCCCCCTCAGTGAGGCAGATGTGATAGCTGCCTCCCCAGTTTCATGACGAGACCAGCGAGCCTAAATACCTTTATACACATATGTAAAATAAGTTACCTGGAGTATGGAAGGCGAGGACATGAAATGAAGGGGTCGACAAACATTACATTGGTGACACACTGAGATAGTAACAGGCACGCGCTTATTCCCGCACTCCATCCTGTTACTGAGGGGTTGCGCAATCAGAGGGGAGGCTGAGCTCGTCGCTGCCTCACCTCTCGTCTCTTCCTGTATTTGCAGCGGAGCTCCGCAAATTTGGCGATGTTGACTATAAAAATGATTGAAATCGTACAGAAATTACATTTATAACACAGATCAGTGGAAAAATCTTAATATTTATTTTATTTGATTATTATATTTTTTTACTTTTCGTAACAGCTATTTTCATTGGAGTAGTGCAGGTGAGGCGCGCCTCCCCTGACCGCATGTCCCTGTTCCACACACGTGTCCTAACGACACCATTAAAACAAGCCAACTCAAATCGCCTATAAACGGGCTCCATTGATATCATAAATGACCACAATATTGACCAAAGTCATAAATCGCCTGGAAAATTAACAAAGCACTCAATTGCTCGCTGTGATGACTCACAAATGCTTTAGTTCTAGATTATTATCAGGCAAAACACAAAGAAGTTCAAATACAAGCTGCATCGTTTTCTAAAAAGAATAACACGTGATCATGCCTCAGGTGCCAAGGTGAACAATTCAGAAGTTCAACTGCCTTCAGCAACATCTGCAGACACAGGTCAGGATGTACACAACTAAACAGCAAGGCATTTGGTGAGAGAGCAAAGCAATCCACCCAGAATGCATAGGATAGTGACAACACCTACCTCTTCATGGGGCATTGAATTACCAAAATGTAGTCACTCAACCTTCCCTGCACACTTGTGCATTCAGGAAGAGCACATACATGCATGCATCCATGTATTATTATTATGATACAACACTTCTTGCTATCTTTCATCCATTTTCCTTTTGGATTTTCACCAATCACATGCCAACTGGGCTATAGGCTTGCACTTTCCTTCCGAAGCTTCCGAAGCAGTCATGTCAAACAAATGCCACGATGAGAAAGGACTTGGAAATGATCTAATAACCCTGAGTTCATAGAAGTGCCTTACTGACCAAATGTTACCACAATATCGGGCTGCACTGGACAGCAGTACAGAAGAGTAACCTTTTCTTCCTGTGATTCGCTGCCAAAAAGCCAAACGGATAAATTAGTCACCGGCGACTAGGCTGTGACTATTAAATGTCTAAGTTTAGACATGTTTAATCTTGGGTGGCTGCATGGGTCGAAAGCCAGGAACACAACAGCACAAGCTTAGCACGAACATCCTAATCCACTTAGCCACCTAATCGAGTTCATTTCCAGAGTGAACACTGCGAGATGGAAACAGCAGCAATTGTTTGAAGTAGTGTAAATTACAGAACTTTGTTGCTTTGCTGTGAAATGAATCCATGAAGATTGGTATCTATAGTAACAGGGCCTATGGAAGCATATATTCGTTGCAAAACATACACGTAAACAAAGCATCGTCACAATCAAAGCCCCATGCCAAACAAACTGCAATCACAGAATACTGAAAAAACTTTTGCAATGTCGCTTCTGCGACATATTCACTCTGGAAATGAACTCGATTAGGTAATGTTGCTTCTGCGACATTACCCTCCTCTTTCAGGCCGAGTGAATTCCACACCCTACGCGCTGGTTAATTAGGCCATGGACAAGGAAACAATGCCACTGTTTATAAGGAAAGGCCAACGACCTAACAGCCCCAACCAGGTAGAAGCAGTTGCTGCATCTCCGCGACGCTTTGTGGCTTTGTGGGCGGTTTGTCCGCTGTCCAAAACTCCCTCGCTCAGCCTGCCTCTGCGTGTTGAGAGTAAGATGAGAGACTTTCCTCGTACGCTTTTGCTTACGATCAACGCAACCTCAGCTCGTGTGCAATAATCCTCCTACTGCTTGCACAGCTGTTCACCGTCTCCCCGCACCTCCGATCAGCACGGTTGGCTACGTACGGTGTGAAAGAAGTTCAACATACATACGTCTCCTGTGCCCATAAATTCTGAAGATAATACCATCACGCCTCAGCTGTTTATAATTCCCCCATACCTCCTTCAACTGGACTGTCCCTCTTCACGACCCTGCGGCACAGCGTGCAGCGATACGACCGCAAGAAGACACTTTGTCGTCAAAACAGACACGATCGATGTCCTGCTGCTGGGGTAAGGCCTCTCCATCTCATTGCCATCCCTCGTCGTCTCACGAGTGATGCAAAACATTCAATGCATCTCATTCCGGCCATTTCCATCACCAGTCTCGTCCATCAGCCCTCATCCATTGTAAGCGACATGTCCCCGCCCAACGCCATTTTTACTTTCTTCAGTCAACAAGAAGACTGTGACTTGCATCTTATTTCTCAAATCCTCTTTCTGTTTCTCAGAGAAATTCCCAGAAAGCATTTCCCCACGCTACTCTGTGCACTGCTCAGGGTTTTTTCCCCCATTTTCTTTGTCAATGTCCGTATTATGGCAGAAAATATTTGATCATGAAAAAGAAAAGTGGTGTCAATATCACAGTATCTTTGCGTTTGAGGAAACAAATGGGTAATTAGTCTTCCATGTGGTATACAATTCAAGCTCACAGTGTGAAGCCAACTTCTGTTTTCCAGACACAGCTTCAACATCTTACCTGTCACACCAGCTGTTTGGCGATCACACAATTGACTGAACTCAGTGTGCACCAAATCATTGTGATCGCTGGACTTGATGGGTGCAAAAAATGCAATTGAGATTTTTTGTTTGCGAACGGAACGTTGCTACTGCACGTCACCGTGGCTGCACTGGGAAAGCGAACGCGGTGCACCTAACGAGCACAGCAGCAGCGGGCAGGTCGAGCTGCGGGCAAAACAGCAACTGCAAGTGCTGCACGTTTGAAATGAGACGGGAAGAAGGGGGGGGGGGGGCTCCAGATCGATGGAAACCCACATTCGCTTTGAACATCCTGTGGAAACGCAACAATGGCGCGCGGTATTACACCGCGCAGGTCTGCAACAGGCATCCTTCATGCACGGTGGCTGACGCGGATGGCAAGGTTACTACTCAAGAGCCCCGACAGCCACCTCCTGGCCAAAATATCAACACTGGCCGCCCGTGTATCTACACGTATTGTTGAAACCTAGAGCAAATATGGACCTTATGAACAAAACCAACTTGCAGACTGTGGCGAATGAAAACTAATTGGGGTGGGGCGGGGGGGAAGGTGCCCGTTTCTCCAGTGCCACACGTGGGTGCAGCATCACTGGGGACGGGAGTTTTCTGTACGAATGAACCCTTTCCCGTTCTGAGCACGTGAGAGAGGCAAAGCACCGTTGTTTTTGAAAGACAATGTGCTCACTGCAGAGAACCGTCGGGACACGAATGCACTCTATGATAGCTGGCGCCAAACTGTGCCACACACGCCATGCCGCATTGCCTTGTGGGAGCCTCGGTACCAATAAAGTTAGTTTATTCTAGTTTTTCTTCCGGTTTCGTTTTCATGACATGCACGTACATCATCGAAAGCGGGTTAAAAGGGCCGGCTACTCGGCAACAAGAGGGTGGGTGCCGTCAGCAGGCCGGCTTGACGGCCCTCGGCCGCGTGAAGCGGCCGCCGCCGTGGCGGGCGCGTGCGTTACGACGCGTGGGCGTACCTTTCGCCGTCCGTCGTGCGCAGCATGGGCAGCCGGAAGCTCGCGTTACGCTCCAGCTTGCTTTTCCTGCGCTTCAGCGACGTCCTCAGACGCAGCAGCCCCTGTCGAGAAAAGCGGGAGGGGGGAAGCGACAGGGGTTTGTGGGAGTGGGAAATGAGAGGAGACGGAGAGAGGAGTGGCGGCAGTGCGGGAGAATGGGGGCGAGAGAGGGAGGTAGGGGAAGTGAGGGAAGGCAAAGCAATCTGACGTGAAGAGGACAGAAGATGATTTGCCTGCAGGGATAACCCAGGGCCGGTGAACTAATTACGACCAGCCTAGCATGCCCTCATGCGAACTGTTTCTTTAATATGACACTTCATGACAGATGACCTGCAACATAAGTCCTTTCCAAAATCAGGTGCACGGCTATGTATCACTTAAAGCGGAAAAACAATACGGGCAGCATGTGATTATACGCCAATGTAATTACTGTAGGCATTACTTGACGAGTGTTTATAATTGTGATTAAATGTTACATCCCTATACGAGCAAAGCTCGAGGTGTGTCTTAAGAGTGTACGATTACAAATACCCACAATACCATTTGCATCTCACTACAGAACAACATACGCAGAAGGCTAACGTCGCCACTAGATGTTTAGCTGCCTTATAAAATGTACCGAGTATTTAAGTAACATCGCATATCTAAAACATTTATTTTTTATCTATAATTGTTTAATTGTATTACTGTGTGAGGCTAAACACATCTCGGTGGAGCTCTGATAATTGACAGAACATCACAAAGCATCAGGGAGCAGCCTTGACAAATGACAGGTCAGAAACAGCGGAAATAGCGATGCTCTATCCTACCATTACACAGGGCTCAGCTATGCCATGAAATCATAGCTCAGCACATGTTCATCAAGTGATATACAGCACAGAAATTTTAAGTTCTTTGGTAATCCACTGCTGGATGAAGTCCTCTCCAAGCTGTGTTGCTCATGGGGGTTGTTTGACCATACTTCACCATGCTGGTCAGTGCAGTTTGGTGAAGGGGGGGGTGGTGCCCAAGACTCTTTCAGGTATCACTCGCCACTGATGTTAGCCGATGCCGGGAATTCATCTTGGGTCATGGGGTTCAGAGAGCGGTGCACTAACCACTGCCCCAATGCTCCACCGCATGGAGTCGATTGAAATTAAATTACATGAAAAGCATAATGCACACGATGTCTTTGCGTGCCATTATTGGAGATCTGCCCGAGACCATCAATGTGCTCCATTTGAGAGCCTCGTTTAACCTTAGCGGAAACGCAGGCTCAAATCCAGCAGGGGGGGGGGGGGCCCAGTGGTCTCGGCCCAGATCTCTGGCACAAACATTAACCCAGAAGCCACCCATCTAAGCCTCCCCCCCATCTTACCCTTCAGAGATGTCCTGTGGCATCACAGAATCTGGAGCAGTGGCTCCTGTGAAGCCAATATATTGTACCACATCTCTCGTAATTGCGTTCATTTTACCTATTCGTGTAACAGCTGAGAAGCACGCACCACTCTTAAAAAGGAAAAGATTAATTGACGAACGTAGCTCGGTAAATTAAATGAATGCATAACAAAGGTGAATCTGTGGGTTTCAAAATGTATGTATGTCCGTCTCTCATGATCGCCATCCAATGTCAACCGTCTACCAAGGCCTGTTGCCATAATCATTGTTATCCAATGCATATGTAAGCATGTTGGACTTCTTTCGCACCATACATAGCCAACCGTGAGACTCGGAGGTGCGGGAGGACACCACACAAAACACAAAAAGCTGTTGCAAAGAAATGAGTTTCCAATCTAAAATTAAAAGTGCGTAACTTCCAGTGGCTTCCTAATATCGGCAGAGTGTTCCAGATGGCCGCAGAAGCACATCTGAAAGGGCCACTCGATGCAGTGGCCGTCTTTGTTCAATGTCCAGACAAAAGACCGGAAAATTACAAACCGTCAGGTAAGGCTCACCGAGCTATATATATATATATATCTTTTTCAGAAGTGACCTGGCCACAAATGGTAGCTCGACAGTGGCTTATCCCGTGGAAATTTATAACAGCCAAATACTCTAAATTCGTGTTTCTCAATGTGGAGGGAAAAACCGGAGGACCTGGAGAAAAATCCACGTGAACATGGGGGGAGAGGGACATGCAGACTCCAAATAAACAGCAGGCATCAGGGTCGAGATCAAACCCACGCCGCCCTCCTGTATACCAGGTGAGGTAGTTAACATTTCACCACTGCGGCACAAAACGAGAAGCACCTCTGCCGTATGCTCCATGGCTGTGAGTCGCCACATGGCTATATTATATAACAGCCATGCCGCCAAAACTTCAGCGCACATGCCACTAAAGTGGCAGATTTCAACGGCTAAAGTGCTTTGAATTCCCCTTCTATGCGAGTATTCTGCGAGGCTGCATCTAACCACGGTTCCATTTACACTGAAGTACGGTCGTGTATAAATATCCCATGTTTGGATGCCACATTTGCTAAGATATTTAAATATACATATATATTGCCCAGGCATCGCTTTGACGAAAGAGCTTTAACCTTCATGAAAACATATCCAAGATGACGGAAGATCTCACGTTTTTCTAATTAAATACACAGAACGCTAAATATTTCTTGCCAAACAGCTTGCAGCATTAATTGTCCAATAATGATACCAAATTGAAAATTAATCAGACACGCTGCAATAACTACAGAATCATGAGCGGGGAGTAAACATTTCACACGGAAACCTCGCGTAAAATGTTGTGGTATATAAACATGTACGAATGTATCCAATGTTAATTCGCCAGCCGGTGAGCTGAATTAACGAAACCTGCGTGGTGCCATTTGCTTGCCGCATAAACAACCTTGAAAAACACAAAATTAATAACAATTATTTAAAATGGAACGATAATAAAGTGAGCAAAAGAGCAGTTTTTCACGTGCGATAGGAAGTCTGATTTTCATTCAATCGTAACTTTACTTTGACATACTGATCAGCATTTGGCAATGCTGCACAGGCAGTCCTCGACTTACAAACGGGTTACGTTCCTGAGACGCGTTCGTAAGCCGATTTGTTCGTATCTTGGACCTTAAAATTTCATTGTACACACGGTCAGTGTTATAAAATGTTATTATGGTTCAACAAACAAAGGAAGCATTGTTAAATGTATAAATAATAATAAATGTTGCATGTAATACTGTACGGATAGTAAATAAAACAAAAAATAAAGTAACATGAAAAGAAAAAAATCTATTTTATTTTCACTTACTTTGAATCCTGATGCTGCCTTGCGTTGTGCATCATGCGGGATGCTGGCACTCATTTACATCTCACGGAGGATCGCTCCACCGAACAAAATAGTTCTGCGGTTCGGTTCATAAGTACGACCAAACGTACCCAGGTCAGATGGTTAAAATTAATAACGTCTCATTGCGGTTCGTTCGTGAGTGCAGATGTTGGTAAGTGCGGACGTTCATATCTCGGGGACTGCCTGTATTGGTTAATTAAAAAAATATTGTGTATTGAAACTGCTCTTCATCTAACCCAGGTCGCCCTTGCAAGGAAAGGCAATGCTGCTTCACGTCTCGATGGGTTTACAATCCCCTTTCTTACAGCAATAGAACATGCGTGTAAACACCAAAGCAGAGACACAGGAGCTCGCTCAGTGTGCAAAAGTGCTTTGCGCAAATACTCGACCAGCAGCTATTCTGTTAAAACCCTTTGAAATAACTTAACAAATGTTAAATTGAATTTCAGTAATTTACAATTTAGGTGAAATTAAACCAATTACAAATATTTATGCAATTTCGACAAATGTGATGGCGTTGCATTTTAAACGGGAGTTTAAATGAGTTTTTGGCTCCAAGGAAACGCTTGTTTTCTACGTGACTGCTTGCGTGGGTGCGATGCTACGTGTCACAGTGCACAGATGTCAGTGTGCTAGTCCGTGTTTCTTTGTCTTTTGGAGTGGTGGCGCAGTGGTTAGCGCACTGCGCTACAAAACCTGGCCACCCGAGTTCGATTCCTGCTCACGACCGATAACAGTGATGAATATTTGAACCGGTCCTGAGCCTCCCCTAGGTCGACTCAGTCTAAAATTATTACCTTGTGCGGTGCGTAAATATCGCCACTCGGGAAACAAAGGGGGACGGGCACAGTGTTGGCCATCCACTCCATGTGGCGTGCTAGCTTTCATCGGTGATACTCGCTAACAGCACTTACCCCAAAAATCTGTTCAGGCTATATGGGGGATCTTTGTCTTGTGTGTGTACATGCGTGACGGTGGCGTCCGACATGTATGACATCTTGCGGGCCCCAATCACGTGAGCAGCCACCGTGTATATCCCATCGTCGTTGTTGTTAAGAGCCAATAACTTGCCACGACTGGATACATGACTCACCCATACTCTTCCATCCCTTCCTTCCCTGAGTTGTTATTTTCCAGTCGTGGCCTACAAACGAATTCATTATTGATTTTTGGCTCAGACCGTGTCAGTAAATTGTGTGTCATAGGTGAATGAGGGTGGTGTGTTTATACAATCAGCTGAATCACAGTCGTGTTGCTCATAAGAATGAGCTGTATTTGAAGGTGTTTCTACGTTCATGGCACAACAATTATAAATTATACACGCGCCAAACTGGAAGCAGTCACAAGGCAAGCAAGTGTGATGACAATAGAGCGTGCATGCAGTGTGAGTGGACTAGTGGCCACGGGAGGTAATGACAGGGGTATCAGTTGTAAGTGCGAAGAGACTGGTGGCTACGGGAATGATCGAGAAGGGAGCGTGGTCAGGCGACAGAAGAGGACGGTGGAGTCTGCCGGTGGAGCGAGCGTCCAGTGTCAGCGAGAATGATCGATAAGGGGGGTGTGGCCTCGGTTGGTATATAAGGTGGAGATGCGCAGGAGACTCAGGGCTGTTACAGTGGGGTCTCCGCCTGATGTCAAGTGAACGTGTCTTCAATGAAGTGTCATCTCAAGAGAAATGTGTCAAGTCGTCATTACACAAGCATAGATATCAAACCAGCGTTCCAGACGGCAGCAGAAGAGCACCTGAAAGTGCCGCGCAATGCGGGGACCGTCTCTTTGTTCGATGGTCAGCCA